CTGTCCAATATATTTGAGCAATATTTTCATGCTTCAAACGTTATCATTGAGACTTCAAAATTTTATGTGGTACATATATGAATATTTTAGTCCTTGTAAAAATTTCATAATTTTTAATAGACATTTACTAGGCTAAATAAACTTTTCTTCCGCTGTTGTTAAATTCGTAATTGCCAAATTGCTTCCAAATCTTTTCCAAAATCAAATTTTGCTATATTTGCCTAAGTTTATGTGAATAACTACCTTCCATTATATTTTTATATGTTTTAAAAAGAAAAAAAATTCCGATTTATAAAATACTTTGGCTAACATCAAAGGGTTCGAACCAAATAAAAAAATGATTATTATTTTTAATGCTTCGGGTTCCGAGAATTCGGGCATTACATTCTACCTATAGGTCTTGGAGCTATTAAGTTGGTTATTAGATGTTTGAGCTAAGTAACCCTTGTTCTACGAGTTTAATTTTTCAAATTTAATTATTCATGAACTTGACGCGCAGAACACTCAAACCAATATGGACATGGAGAAAATGGGACAAATCTCAAATTTGAGGAGAATGTGGAAGAAGAGTCGATCAAATGCAACACCAAGACATCACAACATCATAGGCAATACTGATATTTCAGGAAACTCTTCCTCCTTTTCCTTTAAATTTAACATTGAGAACAATGTTTAGTTTAAATTTGGGGGAGTGTATTATTATTAATTGCCTATCTAAAATTTTTTGAGTTGGACATTTTGGCTTACAAGTACGTTTTACTTTGAGATTTGGTATTGATTTATAAGCAGTGGATATGATGCATGCTAGATTGGTTGAAGCTTAACCTTGCAAAACTCGATATTATACGTGCACCAGAATTGAGTTTAACACTGTGATAAAACAAGTTTATTCCTTTGTTAGATAGGTTGATTTAATTGGACATAGATGTCTTTCCTAAACCAAAGTAAATTATTTATCCTTAGACCAAAATTAGCATAGTTTGGGGTAACTTTACAGTTGTAGAAAGATACGGATGTGAGTTTGGATTCCATGTGTGAAAACTTATATGTAGATTGTCTTAGACTAACATGAAATAACAAGGCAAAAGTCCTAAGTTGAAGTTCAGTTTGTTTGAATAACTGTGTGAGGGGGACATTGTTCTAATCAAGACATATACATTAGAAATTTAAAAACTTTTCTTTGAAGTCTTCATGACTCGAGTAATTAAGCTTGCAATGGTATTTTAAAATCTGGTACCCTAAAGTCATCTGACTTGGGAGTCATTGACTTTAAGCTCGCTATAAAGGTCATTTAAAAGGCAATCAAAGATGAATCTGCAATTGAAAAAAAATTGGTTCTCTTCGAAGCCTTTTTTACTCGGCTCAATAAGCCTATAAGGGTGTTTAAAAGCTCATGCCCTAAAATAATCAGATTTGAGAGTCATCGGTTTAAAGCCTGCTACAGGGATCATCTAAAAAGCTTAATGGAGAGAATGCAAAAAAAACGTTAAAAAATAAAAAAAAACTTATGAAAAACAGAAAAAGCAAGTGGGTGAAAATAGCAAAAGTACTAAATACCTTGGTTAAGCCCTAACACTTATTTAATGGAATTTGACTTTCGATGAAAGATAATTAGCTAGTTGAGTCGTGGCGGTGAAAGCAATCAAATAATTGGAGAATTCGTGTTCACTGAAGTGTTGACTTGCAACGAATAATGTCCACCTGAACTCGAGAGGGTGAGGATACTAATGAGATATTCAACCTTAGATTATACATTGGGAATGAGTGAGAAAGTGTAAGTTTGGAGATGTGTGAATTTTACGAGAAATGTAAGGTATATTTGACCACAGAGGGTCAGAAATTGAAACAACTTGTGCAGTCATTGTTGATTTTTTAATTCTTCACAACACACACGTTGATTTTGCACTGAAAGAGTAGATATCAATTTGGTATTATGACTCTGAAACATCTTTATGGAATAAATATCAAAATCTCGAATCATGAGTTAAAAAGCTTGATTGTCCAACTAATTATCCCTTGCATGATTGTGTGTTGGTAGTTATTTAGATGATGGTTTTGTTTGATGACAAACAATTGTTTAAATTTGGGAGTATTTGATAAGTGTAAAAATCATGCTCTAATGTTGGGCAGTCCATGTCTATCAATCTATACGAGTGCCCTAATGTGTCGACGTAAGTCAGCTGCTCTGCAGCAAGAGTATTTGCAACTTGGTTTCTCTCTTTGTAGATATGGGAAACTGTAGCTCTGTCGAAGGATACGATGTCTGTGATTTGTCTAAGAATACCCTGAATAGCCCATGGTCCTCCTCCTTTAGTGATGTAGTGAATAGCCACTTTAGAATCCGACTCAATCCAAAAGTCTGAAAGACCGAGTCCTCTAGCTAGTAGATCCCATCAAGAATAGTCTTGAGCTCTGCCTCTAATATCATGCACATTCCATATGTAGTTGAAAAAGCTCTAATATAGTATCCTGCGTGATCCCTAATGATACATCCCTCACTCAAAATACCATCATAGATGCATCCATCAGTATTGATCTTGACAGATCCAACTGATGGAGTGCGCCACTAAACCAAAATTGGAGGAGATGGGGAAGGGAAATCAAAGAAATACCAAAGATAGGAACAAGAGTCAAATCTCCTTGCCAATGTATAGCTTGAAACGTTCCTCCAATATGTAGAAAAGAGATCACGCGATAGACCCTCCATATGATATGTCTAGCCACCATACGAATCCCTCCATGCTTTTCATCATTCTTCTCGGTCCAAATAAACCAAAAAACTAGTAAAGGAATGATAGTACGAATGTGTCCACAGTGAACATATTGTCCAGAATACCTCCCTCTCTAGAACATCTGTCTAACTCCATTTCTTAAACTCATAAGTATCTGAAAAATGTTTCCAAAAACTGCCATACCTGATCAGAGATGCTACTTCCAATGAAAATATGACTAATAGTCTCGATCTCAAAACAACACTGGCAGCGAAAAGCTAATTGACAGCCAATCATTCTCTAGATAACCACAGCTACTGGATTGAGGTCCTGCCATAGTCTCCAGCAAAAAAATGAGACAGTGACTGGAAAAATGGTGTTCCACAATAATCGATATGAATCCTGATACTGGCATCCTAAATGTGTGAGCTGCCATGCCAACTGGTAGTGAAGTTATCATTCGATGTATCCTGCAAAACAATGTGATCCGGGGCACTACACATAAAGGTATAGCCCCTATCTACTCTGCCACGTAGGAAAAGCTAAGTGGGGGACTTCCATGAGTAAAAAATGTGTTCCCATACAATACTTGCCTAATAAAAACTGGGCCTAAAGTGATCTCTGAGAACAGAACAACCACCAGAGCTTCATGGAAAAGGTGCCTACCATATCCTATAATCTCCTGAAACCTAGACCACCTTCATCAGTAGGAAGGCAAATCTCCTTCTAGCTCTGCCAATATAACGTCGCTCTTGTTCCTTGGAATCCCATAGGAATCACGGAAAGATGCTTTCAAGTTTTTTCAAGACTGACTTAGGGGGCTGCATAATCTGAAGAAGATGTAGTGGCATGGAAAAAAGCACTGATCTCAGCAAGGTAATACGGCCCCCAGGTGATAATAATCGTGAAGCCCAACCTGAGATCATATCCCTAACCTTCTGGATAAGATTATCATAAATGAAGCTCCTCCTGATCCCCTTAGGTAAGGGGACTCCCAAATAAGTGAAAGGTTGCTACAGGTGTCGAAATCCAGTCAAAATCTCCAATCATCTGATCTAACTAATGGATGCCCTTCTAGGTAGTGTAAGCCCACTCTTGACCCTATTCACCAACTGACCAAAAACCCCTTCATAATGTTCCAAACAATGAAGAACCCTCCTGATAGATTGTTTCTGGCCGTTGGCAAATATAACCATATCATCAGCAAATGAAAGGTGTGAGATAAGAGTACTACCTCCATGCTGATAGCACATACTAGGATACTTCTGAAACCTCTGAGTGAGCAGGTGTGAGAAGTAGTCTGCAACTATGATGGAACATGAAATTTTTTTTTAAATTTGACATTTTACCAAAGCTATATTTTTCACTTTAAGAAAAAATTATGATTACTTTCTCACCGAATAATTTTTTTCTTTCTTGGAAATTAGATGATCAATAATAATATTAGATACCAATTTCACTGTGTCTAGGTCTAGTCGATGCTCTTTTCAATTGGAGGATTATATAAATGTGTGTGCTTAATATCCTAGAAAGGTTTTACACGTACTAAAAACCGCATAACGAGGCAGCATTCCGCCCACTCTCACTGTCCAAAACAAAGAAAAGCTTTAGGATACAAATTACTCCAGATTCTAGATAAAAAAGCCAATAAGTTGCTTCGACTGCACCAATTACCTTCAGTTGAAACTAAATCCACCAGATGGCACAGTGACATCTCCTCCTCTGAACTACAAGCCTACAAAGCAATTAATAGAATTGGGTAGTTGCCTCAAGCTGTCTACAAGAATCATCCATCCATCCAAACACCAAAACCATTGCCAGTAAATTTTCTATCAGCACCTCCTTCTATTAGCATTGAACTTAGCTGTTTCTCCTATATCATATATATCAAATATACCACAAATATTATAAGGCTACTTATATATTATACGTAAATCCTAACAAAACAGTGATAAACTAATCCTACTAACATAACGACATCAACCATTCATACTTTTTACTTCAAATAATAAAAAGAATGCTTATTACATGAATTCAAATAATTGAAACAGTATTTTAAATGAGTAAATAAGAAATTCTCTAAAAGCTCTGAAGAGGCCATCGGGGGGAAGGAGTAGTCATTATTAATTTGGCAACTATTCGTACAAAAGTGAATAAATTTTCATTTGTTCTGTAATGAAAATTCTGCTTCAATTGCTCATGGCAGAAAGCCTAAAGGAACAGAGCATATTAATTTTTCCAATTATTCATACACTAGTCTTTTGACCTTGCATTGTGTTATTTTTAAGGTAATGTTAACGTGTCAAAATATTGCATTACGGATGACAAATCTACGCAATTAAATACCAATAACCAGTCCCAAGTAATTGATAAACCAACCTATACTACACATCCATTAAAAACAATAGAAACCATAGCTCCAAAAATTTGTGCATTCCGGCATCATTTTGCCAAGCATTAAGGATATTCACATGTTAAGAGAAGCATATTATTAGACTTATGGTGAAAACCATAACCAAAAGGCGACTTCCTGGTAGTGATGTGAAGAGCCTTAGTGGGCATTCTGGTGATTTGCCAAAAAATTGTTATCTTCCTGGAGAGGTATATCAAAACTGCTTACATCAACAGAAGTTTGAGCTGATGATCCCTTGATAAGTTGGTAACCTTGTTCCCGAGCAATCAAGAGTAGCTGATGATTATCATTTTCCGAAATAATTTTTCTCACATTTTGCAAAGAAAGATGCTGATGAAATGGGAGTTTTCTCAAAGCACCTAGCAGCTGATTGTCAAAACTCCATAAATTTGATCACCATCTGGTCAACTGAAACAATGAACCAGTTGATTAGCTAATTATTGAATGAAGACCTCCTATACAAGAATTAGCTTGAAAGTGACAAACATCAAGGCATGATGAAGCAGCAATTGGTAAAAATACCACTTTTTTTTTCAATCTACAATGAATGAGGATTTTGTATAGTTATTGACCAAGTTTAAAAAGTCGAAAATTCCTCTAGATCTTCCAAATTTCAATCAAAAGTTGAAGAACTCCAATCAAATTTAAATTAGTAAAAAATAGGACTAATTCTAATTTAGTTCAAATTATAGTCTCTTGAGATACTATTTATTTACAAGAAGCACGAGGCGAAGCAAATTTTTCAAAAAACCAAATAACTATATTATTCTAATAGAATACAAGGGGATCTTATTTTTCAATGTAATTGTTGGCATAATTTCAGCTATATTTTAGCTTCTCATAAATAAATGTAGGGAACATATAGAGCGAGGAATTTGTTTACTTACCCTTTCCAAAATTCTCAAGAGCTTCTTTATTGACTTCACATAGATCTATACGAAGTTGGACTCTAGTTACTAATATTCCATGGTAAGCAAGGTAACAGCAGTAGTTAAAAAAATGTCTGCCAGGTGTATTACTTTCGTATCCTTAAAAAGAAAAATGCAAGCAACATTTCACAAGCATAAATGCAACGTGATTCGATATGATACACAACAAATTAGCATATCACAATGAGACGGTGAAACTGGAGAAAAATATACCTCTTCTGTAGTCATTTCCAATATCATTTTCTATTTTCTCAATAGAGCTTATGACATTGCTACAGTTGTTCAAAACAGCATCTTTATCTAGTTGACCACAGTACACAACTTGATATCGTATAACTATCTTGTTCAATGTATTTGTAGCAGTAATCTTGTTCAATGTATTTGTAGCAGTAGATTTTTGATTGCAGAGAAGGAATAGTAGTAGTAATCATTGGACTACATTTATAAGAAACCACAAATAATGCATATAAAAAGCATTCAGCAACACCAAATAAGGTTACCATTTTGAACCCAACATGCTTCCCTAGTATAAATACACAAAAGAGTTGAGAAAGAAGACCTCGGATCTGCATTTGATGGACTATCTTTGAATTAAAAGGTGATCATCTAGAGGAGATTTACTTCCACTCACATTCTATCCTACAAACTATCATTCTATTTGAGCAATAGTCTGGTTTTTATTGAGACATTGATGTGCTATCTCTAGATCAAATTATATTTTCATTATATGTGAATTTGAATTATGAAAGTAGCTTTGTATTTGGACCTGTGCCTTGACTTATAGCTGTTAAGTAATGATCTAGAATCAATCTGCATATTTGCTTAGGCTATGGCATGAGAGAAACTGCATGGAATGGAAAATGGAGAGTGGAAAGGTTTTGGGGAATTAACTTTTTCTTGTTGACTGAAGATGAAGGCTTTAAAGGATGGAAAGTGGGTGGAAAGCAATTTTTTTTTCTTTTATTTAAGTGAGATATGTCCCTTTTTTTAACAACATACATTGAACTCTTGAAGAATTTCAGTATTCTTGCTTTATGATTTTCCTGCTGTAACAATGCAGATGTGGATTGGGGATTGTAATTTGTTGGCAATGGCAGAGGTATGGTGGTAAGTACTGGTCTGAGCTACGAATTTCCAATTTAACAACAGAATTGACAATACAGACAAATCTATAGCATGGAGTAAGCAGGAAGCTGAAAGAAAAGAAATTTGACAAGTGAAGTTTCACCAAGATGATTTGCAAATACAGCATAAAATTTGAAGGGCTCTTATTCCTGCTATGTTTGACAACTTTTATGTCATCTATGATAATGGCAAATATCCATTGTTTTCCACAAATGATATCTTCTACATGATTAAAGATCTTTTTTAGAAATAAATAATTTGCATAGACAACTTATTTTAAAGCTTGTGGAATCTCTTGAATTATGAATCTTGAATAAGGAAGGCAACAAAAGGAAAATGCAAATGTCATTGACAAAGAACTGTTAAAGTAGCCTTATTGCTAAGTTCCATAATAGTAATATATAAGAGGAGTCATCATTTTTTTATACATATCATACAAATAAATAACTATTTTTTTGAAGAAGATTATAGTTTGTGAATGGAGAATATAGGAGGACAAATAGCAAAAACAAAAAAAAACAAAAAAACAAAATCTTGAAAAGGAGGATAAAACGATACTAACCTTGGTTTATCAGAAGAGGTTTTTCTTGTTCTCTCTCGAACAAACAACTTTTGTACGGTACAAGCAACCAAACAAATGTTAGCATGTTTGATGTGAAGAATTAACGAGAGAAATGTATATTTTAATTCAATAGAAGTTGTTGGGTAGATGAATATGTTTGCTCATAAGTTTGTCCTAATAACCATTCAAGTACTAAAATTTTTTCATTTGAAATATCTGCCATGTAATTTCATAACAAAAACTGTCTTATTTTGCTTCTCTTTGTGAATTGGAAGAATTTAAAGTTGCGATAGATACCCATAGTTAAAGGAGGAGTTTCCTAAAATGGGAATTGAAGTTCAGACAAAAAGACTATTATAAAAAAAAAAGCTTGTTTCACTTGGAAGCAACCAGGTTGATAAATGAGGCAATGAGAAGCTAACAAACAATTCTGCACTCTTTCATCTCTTTTCTCTTTAAGGTCTGAGATTTTGTTTTTCAGCTTCTTGAATGCATGCATGTTTTCACTGAAATGGAAAAGGATTCATAGACCAAAAACAAAGTGCCTCAAAGTTTACAACAGCTTGTACACTTAAGGCTATTAGTCATATAGTATAATTTAACAAGCAAATAAGATCTAGATAAAGTAAAATAGAAAAAGCTTCGAGAATAATCATCCAAGACATTTCCAAGGTAAGCATTCAATGATTTTTGAAAAATGCTTAATGCTGAGTTAATGCAGTTTTTTTTTTTTTTTTTTAAGGCGAGTTAGTGCAGGATTGAAATACCACATGTAGCGCAGTGCACTCTTCCAGCAGATTATGTGACCAAGGCTATGTAGCACGGATACTCTAATTAGGGTAGCGCGTCCGACACGTGTCGGATACATGTCGATACCGAGACTCTTCGGATGCTCTACAATAATCATTTTCCTTTCTTACTATAACTATTATATATTTTTAACTCAAAATTTTTAATAAATAACAAATAAGTACTTATATTTAAAAGATTTCAACAAAAAAGAATCAATAATAAGTATAAAACTAAATTTAAACTATATAAATGAAGAATTTTAAAAATTTAATGAACGTGTCGACGACGTGTCGTGTCGGTACTTTTTTGAAAAATCACGAGTCTACGTATCCGATACGTATCGTGTCGGACACACGTATCCGTGTCGGTGCATCATAGGACCAAGGTAGTTCATTTCGTAAATTTTCATTTTTACCATTTTATTTAGATCAGATGACTTATGAATGCACTAATAGAAGAAACGTGTCTATTGTTTCCCAAATGAGATCGTCAACATTAGAATTTTAATTAATCAAAGGAAGATAATAAATTAAGGATGGCTCACCAGTTTACCAAGTGATATCCAACACCTTTAAAATAAAGAACTCGGAGGGAAGATTTTCCTCGTTCTCTCATATCAGTGTTATTACTGTGAATGCAAGAAGTTCCAGAAGTTCCAACATCACTATTACCACTCTCAGATGCCCCACTCAGGTACGAAGAATCAGGGTTTGGTGCATGAGCTGGTGACATTCCGTTATAATCAAGCAGTCAATGTGTTAAGATAAATTTGAAAGTCCAGCATCAGCCACGAGGTAATCATCACTGCTTCATATTGTTCAACTGTTAGATGTCCCAGGAGCTTCATCTCTACGTCCATCAGACATGGAATCTGAAGACAATGAAGTGACAATGGTCTGAAACTCATCTGGCACATCTATCTCATTCCAATTTTCTTGGTCAAGTAAAGCCTTCATCTTTGCCATCTACAATAATCAGCATGGGAATGAGTCTAGGAACAATAGCTAGAAACCTGGTAAAAGTCAACAAACTCAGGTTGAATATTAACTAACTTGAAATTCATGCTGGAACTCAGGGGCGGACCCACATGGGGTCACGTGGGGGCAAATGACCCCACAGGTTTCTGGAATTTTTTTTTTTTTTTTTTTTTTGCTGAAAACTTAATTTTTTGCTCCAAAAAGTCCAAATCCTAAATCTATATCCATAACACATGGTCCATATTCATTATATATAGTCTATAGATATATCATATAATCCACCAATTTCTTCACAAAGTACAAATATCGAACATGAACAACAAATAACCGAGTTTTCGTTTTTGTTCATAATACGTTGTTTGAAAAAAAAAAAATTTTGACCCCACAGTTCGAACGGTCTGGGTCCGCCCCTGCTGGAACTCAATAAAGGATTTAGCCTGTTAGTGTAGCGTTCATATCCCAACCTTCCACCAATTTGTTTATGTTAGCATAATCTGGTATCATGACCACAATAATACAAAGCTCTATTTGATAGACAAAAATGGACCAGGAAATCAATAGATACCTTCTCTGTTGAACTTATAAATTCTTGACTGATGTTATACACAATTAGAAAATCCTGCAGCCTCAATTTCGGATGAATTTTAGAACAGATTCCAACAATTTTTGATCATCTTCCATAAGAAGCATCACAGGCTGCAAATAGAGCTTCTGCATTCTCTCTTAAAATATTAGCTCTGTCAGACAAGGGAAAATATATGTTAGTTAAGTGTGTGCATTTCACATGGTAAATGCGTCTGCTTCCATTTCTAAATACATCTCCAGGATCATATAGGCAATGTAGTTGGCCCTCAAATTTGTTATTTCAGAAAATAAAATAAATCATAGCACTGATGTATTGGAAGAATCAACTTCAAGTTAAATATAATGATCCTTGAGAGGCATTCATTTGAGGGGAACTCTAACCAAAGCTTTTTATATCTGATACTATTCATCAATTGATAACTGGAACAATATTTTTTCTGTTATTCAATTTTCAATGTGAAGAAAGCAATTGTACAAAAGTTATTCTAAACAGTCTCCATTCAATACCAGCATTTTCAAGGATTAATAATTTGTTCTCTCTTAGGCAGAATAAGCTACATCCCTTGGCAATTGAAGATACATAATTTTTCGTATTGTAATATTATTTGCTAGAACAGGGTGGAGTAGAGGAACATTTAATGTCCTCACACGTAATGTTCTTTTTTTTTATTTCCCAGGGGAATCCTAAAGTTCATGTTGCAAAGAAATCTAACAAGCAGTAGCTTATCTTTTTAAGCTCTGATTGGTTACAATTATAGAACAATTGCTAATGCTCTTCTACACTATAAACTCTTTCGGTGTTTATTTCTCCTTGACCCTCCTCTCTTTTCAACTCCAGCTTTTTAATTCTTTCTTCTTATCATAAATCCATTTCTTCAAAAGCTCATTGATTCCCCACAACATAAAAAATCAAATCAGCCCTAATTCTCCAAAATTGCAGTTCACGGAACAATTCATCCGTTGCAGCATAGCTTAAGACTTTCTTCTTTTCCTGTATCTTTATTCCCCATAATATCTATTCCATGTTTCCTATATTTAGACCTATTTGCCATATAATTATTCCTTGCTTTCCAGACACACCAAGGAAATATCAGTTGATAATCGTCCACTTCCATTGCTTCTTGTTTTTAGACAGCCTACACCAAGTTATATCCAAAGTAACTAATAGATGAAGAGTTACTATGTACAGCTATACCATTCACATGGCTGTTGACTCTCCAGTATTTAGTCAAATTAACCTACAAAATTTATAACAAGTACTCTTCACTTATCCACTACTCATTTCTATCTATTTATTAATTAAGAAGTTCATAAATTCGTCCCAAACGGGAGCTATGTTTTCCACCACTCATTTCTATCTATTTATTAATTAAAACATTTATAAATTCTTCCCAAATGGAGGCTATGTTTTGATCTAAATATAGTATATGTTCTTTCCAACATAATTTAGCTTTTATTTTATTCTCTTTTATTATGTTTCATGGTTGACAAGATTGGTAGGATTCAGACAACAGAAATGCCAAGTCATAAACACATAATAACTTCTTTTCAAACTTCGTTTATTGAAAAATTAGCAAGTTATCTTTTATTGTTCCTTGGAGGAGACTGGGATTGCTCAAATCATCCCCCTTTCTCAAGTTATTCTCCTTGAATTTCCTAAAAGCTGAGACTCTGAGCATGAATTGAAGTAAAAATTCTTCTTTCACGCATTTACCTGCATCAAATTTTTTGCATTTATTTACGTGGTAGAGTGGTTAGACATCCGAGCACATCATACAAAAAGGCATTCTCATTCTCAAGGAAAGATTCCATCACATCATTGCTTCCCCAAAAGAAGCGTCATGGATCAAGTAGTTTTTTATTTATAAATTTTGAAAAGGAACTCAGGCAACAGTCATGAATAGCAGTTACACCACCAGAAGCAATGTCATATGGAGTGTAATATGTTTATTCTGGATTAATATAGTCTAGAAGATGTAAGAGAAATGGGCACCCTGTAAAATCATGAACACTTCCTCCAAAAGTTTAAAAAAGCCGTCGGGTGACAGACTTTTCAACTTAGTTCCTAGTGGTAAGCATCCACCTGAATCATTATTTAGCATGTAATCAGAAGATTCAGAACAAAAAGGTAGAGTTTACAGCTAAGAACTTCTAGCAAAGCTGGTTGGCTTATGTAGTGGATACACCGACTCCCAATAATGAAATTTAAAATGCTTATCAAAAGCGAAAGAAGATAGTGGATGTCACTTTAGGCGTGTACATGCTATTTCATCTGAAATCAAACTTTCATGAAGGGTCAATATGCAAGTGATCTCACAATCTCCAGAAACAGAATCCGACTCCAAATGCATATTCTCAACTGCCAGTTTGACTGAAGTTTATTTCAGAAGCAAGTGTATCAAGTTATATTCTCAACACAGCACGTAGCTTTCCCTGAAATGAGGATCAGACATGAGATGATCCTTCAATCTAGGCATCATGAATTCAGCTATGCAAGTAACCGCTCAGATGGTCAGTAGGTAAAAAGTCTGATACATGAAAATTATGGAACTAACCGTTCTAAGCAATCCAATGATAAGGGGAAGAAGCTGGTCTTGAAAATTAGCAATCCGCTCTTCCTCTGGTCTAACCTGCATTATTTTAATATTTGTCTTCATCATAAAGTTGTTTGAAGTGGGAATAGAAAACCAGAAACAGAAAGTAACTAATGGGCTAAAACAGATATGACAACACTAAAAAACAATGAAGCAAAGAGAAACATAATCAGAAAGCTTCCAGACTGCCAAAAAAGACGTGACGGTAATCACAAACAGTAACGCAAGGCTACAAGAAGCACACTGCATAAGGAACACGATCGAGGAAAACAAGACCCCAAATTACAAGGTGAACCAGAAAATCATCTAGAGCACATCGGCATACTGTAATCAACAGTAACCCATGTTGTTTTGTAAATTCTAGAGTCGTACAAAATTTTGATCAACACAAAATCTAAAATTTAAAAATACATGCTAATTACTTATTTGAAATAAGTTAAAAAAATTACTAAAATTGATGTCAAGGTTAAACAATTAATCTTAACTATTTCATGTGATCCACTACTTCTATCAATTTTATAACCACACAATCCATCGACGTTTATCAAAATTAGCTAAATTTTTTAATCAAAAACTTTGTCGAACAACTTGTACGAATTACTCTAAATCACGTCAGTCAGAATAATATTCTTCCACCACCTAATTAATTCCTACAAATTTAGATTACAATTACAGGTCAATTTTAGCAGAGGGTAGGTTTGTAGCATACTAACATCCAACTAAACAAGCCTAACCTTCATTTATTGCGAAGAACATGTGTATCTTAACTTCACAAAACAAACTCGGTCTTCTCTCACTATATGTATTGTGACGCCCCGACTTTCAATTATATTTTCATATGGAGAAAAATCAATATTGATCGCTTTACGAATGAGATAGCTCATGTCTAGCATTGTTGTCACATTAAGGTCAAAAGGTTAATATGATAAGTTAACCCATCTAGTTGCAAAAAAAAGACTTATCGTCTTAGTTATATAAATTTATCGTAACTTTTATCTAGGGTCGATTATTTAAAGATTATAGAAAATTTATAAAATATATCAATATTATACTTGTTATGTAGCTAGTACTAAATAGAATAAATTGGGCTCAAGAAAAATTAATTTTAAACTAGGTATATCTGATTAATTCCAGTAAAAAGAAAAGTATTATATTTCAATATATATATATATAATGATTTTTCTAGAAATATGTGATATATGATTGTGAGGGAAACGTGTATGTTTAACTAAACCTAAATAACCTCACTTCAGTACTTGCGCTTTGAAATTTGAAATGGTTTTATAATTTATTATATACACATTAAACATAAATCATTCATTTAAATTAGATAATGAATAATTAATAAATTTTGTTTTGAATTTGACGACCAACCGTCGGAGTGATGAGACGTGGCTGATGGAAATAAATATTACATTAACTTACAAGTTGAATATTCAAACTTAGCCATATTTCAGAAATTTCTTTGGAGGTAAGAATACATGGTGCAAGTGGTAAATTCTTATTCTTGATATTTATGTAAATTTGGCATGAAATACTATAAGACTTTAGGGTCGAATTATATGTTAAATCTTTCGGGACGGACCGTCAGGTCAAAGAAAAGAAGTTAAATCCTACGAGATGGACCTTTAGGTCAATATGATTAAATCCTACGGGATATGTGGATTCTTAAAAAATTCCTTGAGCTGTTGGAATCGCAACCAGTTTGCTCTAAATTTAAGACATGTCGGTATGTTATGCCATATTATGTTTATATCATGTTATAAGAATATGCACGTATTTTTACTGAGTGTTTTCAAAATACTCACTCTTACAATACTTTTCAGATTAGAACGGGTCGTGTGGATAAGTAAAAGATTGATCGACGATGCTTATGGGGTCATCAAGTAAAGTTTTTAGAAAAAAAATCATCAAATTCTATTTAAAAGAATATCATTATTTTATTTTTATGCATGGTATTTAATATTTTTCTTAGAGTACGAGCATTCGACACTTTATGTTGAATTTTAATTTATAGTTTGAGATGGGATATTTCAAGATTTTATTTTAAATCATTATTTTGTCGTTATTGAATTGTCGATGACATTTTGATCACTAAAATAAAAAGTTATATTTCCACTTAAATTAGATTAAAAAAAAGTTTTAGTAGCACCTTGAGCTCATTTTTATTTAAAATCAACAATAATAATGAAAAAGAGTTCGAGACGTTAGAGAATGGTATCAGAGCATGAGTTTAGTCGGTTCTGTAGACTTGTCGTTATATTATATATATAGTACAATTTATAAGCTTCTTATTATAAAGGATGTGTGAGAAATTGCTTCATACTTTTATCCAGAGCTCAATTCTGTCTGACAATATGTTCCTTGCTTTATTAGTTATGTATTTATGAAATGATTTTATTATATTACATAGTTGTTTGGTTGTTTTTCTTGCTTAACACCTCACTTTCGTTAGTTGAGAAAAAGAAAAAAAATCTGATTCAATGGATTGGCAGCTTCAAATGTTGAAATTTTTATTAATCATAGCTGCATTTTACTTGCATCTGTAAACTATTTTAACTACCCTAGAATTTGTTGAAGAGAAGTGAACATAAGTTTGTTATTGCAATTGTGCAAGAGATGAAAAATGTGTTTTTGCAATCTGTCGTGTATCCAAATAGGTTGGACTTTTTCCATTTGGATTGTCTTGTGTTTTAACTGGACCTAGGGAAACTGGTTTGAAGTTTGGACTATAATGTCTTATCACCTTTTCAAATAAAGTGCTTAGAAATTACCCCTGGTGATATTTGAATCTCTGTGTTGCAAAAAATAATTTTAGATTGATTAATATTGCTTCTAATTCTCGAATTAGATAGACACGGAATTTTGATTTTTCTTCCACTTCAAATTTAGGAAGTGGATAAAACATTTGCTCATTGTTTAATTATTATAGTTTTCTGGTAAAAAAAAAGGGGTAATTAATTTCTAAAGTATATGAAATAATTTTACTCTAGTGGTTTCAATATAACTTGTTAAGAAAATGATTTCTACTTGTTTATATATTTTTACTTCTGTATGAGATTTTCACTAAACGAGTATTCAAAATAAGACCCACGGTACTTAGCGCTCATCAATCAGCTACCGTCCGACAAACCCAAGGTATGAATGAAATATTATATTTAATCCTACTGTCAAGCATGATTTATGAATTATTAAGCTTGATTTCAAGAAAAGCTCATGAAGTTTAGAATGAAATATGCTATGTAAGTTGTTATTTTTCTTA